CAAGATATAGTTTACCCTCCAGGAGATATTAATCAGTACAACAGTAGTCAATCGTAAAAAAACATTTGAAAATTTTAAGAAAATTATATATATTATAATTAAAAAAACGAAACAAAAAAAGCTACATTATAAAGTGATGTAAAATACTAAAAACAGGAACATGTCTGTTGGTTTATGCCATGAACTTAACAGATGTTTAAAGCCATTTAACATTTTTATTTTTTTCATTTATTCATTCAAAAGAAACAAAACAAATTCATCAAAAAGAAAACGTTGAATGAAAAGAGTGCAGAAAGAAGAAAAATCGTTGGTTACGTACTGTAACCCCAGATTCTATGAGTATAGGTGTAGCCCTTTAAGGCTGTCGCTGATGGTTTATCCCGTTATGCGAAGCATCACACTGAAAAAAAATTTAGTCCACGCCCACCTGCTGTGTGGGCCCCACCCGATCCGTATAAGTTACGTTAAGAGCGGGTAATCGGCTCCCAAATAGCTTTATTTTTTCTTCAGCCATTCAGGAGCCAATGAGGCCCGACGCTTAAAGGGCTACTCTTATACTCATAGAATCTGAGGTTACAGTACGTAACCAACGTTCTATTTCGTATAGGCTTCGCCCTTTAAGGCTGTCGCTGATGGGTTAAGAGCGAAGCGGATATTGTCCTCGCCTCACTGGGTCCATTCGAACACTGTATGAGACAGAAGCTTGCCCACAAAAACGTCTTGTCACTCAGCTCCCCATGTGCATAATTACGCATTGCATAGTTATGTGTGCCATGCACAGACGCATGTTGTGTAACTATGCGTTCTGAATGCATGAACGCCCCGGATAATTTCAACGGGGAAGGAAGATGTTGTGAAAAAGGGGGGAGGGGGGGCCATGAACCAACTGAATCATGGCTTAACAGTATAAACAGATTAATAATAACAAGTGAACAGATTATTAATCAAATGAACTGATTGGTAACAATAGTCATGAACTGATTAGTGACAATAGAACCAAAATAACAGACAACTTGTGACTGATAACATCTCACACTGTGAAGTATGCAGACAGATGTGAGCTTAAACAGGGTTCCATGAAAACAATAATATTCATTCTGTTAGAGCATTATGGACAGAATGTGTCATGGAACGAACTGTCACATCACGCAGATAAAAGCGAATGAATGAGCAGGGTGTTGACCACGCGGCCGCAGTGCAAATGTCCTGCATCGTCATACCATTATGCAAGGCAGTCGAAGATGCAATACCCCTGGTCGAGTGCGCCCTGAGGTTGACAGGAGGCTCTAGATCTGATGCTCTGTAGGCTTCAGAAATGGCCTCACACAGCCAGTGTGACAAATGCTGGGTGGATAACGGGCGACCTGCAGATGCATCTCTATAATGCACAAACAAATGTTGAGTTTGGCGCATTACAGCTGTGCGCGCTATGTAACACGTCAACGCCCGCACAGGACAGAGAAGATGGAAAGATGCTTCTTCTTCTGATCTGTTGGGGGGAGGGAAAACCCCCTCCAACAATATCGCTCTTGATTTAAAGGAGCTCGTGATGTTTTTAGGCATAAAAGCTGGGTTTGGTCTTAAATCAGCTGAGCTGCCGTCAGCCTGAATTCTGAGACATGACGGCGCGAAAGAGAGGGCAGATAAATCACTCACCCTCTTAGTGGATGTTAAAGCCAACAGCAGGGCTGTTTAACGAGACAGGAATTTAAGTGGAACCTGATCCAGAGGCTCAAATGGAGCTTTGATCAGGGCTCGCAGGACCAGCGTTAAATCCCACTGTGAAACAGGCCTGCGTCTCTGTACACCTTTTAGAAAATGCTTAATCAGCGGATGATTAAAAGCTGTTCTGTCTCCGAACCCTTCGTGGCAGGAAGAGATGGCTGCAGCGTACGTTTTAATCGTGCTGAATGCCAACTTCCTGTCTATCAGCTGTTGTAGAAAAGACAGCACGCCGCCTAATGGACATGAGGTGGCCTCTACACCTATCACTGTAGACCAGCGCTGAAATGCTGTCCACTTTGATGTGTACAGCGCTGTGGTAGATGCAGCACGTGAATCCTGGATTGTGCGCACTACATCCTGTGGGAGACCCATCCTCTCTAAGCGGAACCGCTCAGCAGCCAGACTCACAGGTGCTGGCCTATTTCTGGGTAACTCCTGATCGCTCCTCCTGCCTGGAGGAGAGCATCCTCCCTCCACAGTAGTTTCCACGGGCACCCCGACAGCAGGCGTTGCAGGACTGGGAACCATGGTGCGTTCACGCGCTCGGGGGCTACCAGGAGAGCTGTCAATCCCTCCTCCTGAACTCGGTTCAGGAACCGTAAAATCAGAGGAGTTGGAGGAAACGCGTACAGAAGCGTTTTGGGCCATGGGCTGTGGGCAAACGCATCCACCCCCAGCGGTGGTTCGTCTCGCGGGCTCAGAGAAAACCATAGTTGACACTGAGTGTTCTCTCGTGTCGCAATCAGGTCCACAGATGCTATGCCAAATTTCTGCCACATCTGAGTCATCAGGTCCGGGTGGAGAGTCCAGTCCCCGTGACGTGGACTGCCCCTGGACATCACATCTGCCCCTTTGTTCAGAACACCGCGTATGTAAACTGCTCTGATGGAGAGCAGATTTTGGTGAACCCAACACAGTAGCTTTCGCGCAATGTGCAACATCTGGGCTGAGCGCACACCCCCTTGCCGGTTTATGTACGCAACAGTAACTTTGTTGTCTGTGTGAATCAAAACGTGTTGATTCTGTAGCACAGGAGCAAAGTGTTTAATCACGTTCAGCACCGTGCGACACTCCAAAACATTTATGTGGGCAGATGTGTGATGGGGCCACAGCGCCCCTACTGCTTGAGATAGGCATGCCCCCCCCGAGCCTGACAGCGACGCGTCAGTGAAGACTGGCACGTGTGACGTGGGTCTGCTGACGGGGACTCCCTCCGACAGAACCAGGGTGTTTGCCCAGTGTCGGAGGTCTGTTCTCACGGAGGGGGGGGAACAGTGATCATCCGTCTCTTTTGTTTTACTGGGTCCACACGCAGACGCACAAACCACCTCTGGAGGCGTCTCGTGTAATAAACCCAGCGGGACCACTGTGTGAGCTGATGACATCGTTCCTAACAGCTTCATGACGGAGACGGCTGTTAACACTCTGCCAGTTCTTAGCTGGTCTTTTAGAGTGTCGATTCTCGTTTGTGATAAACGAGCCCTCATGGCGGTTGAATTTAACTCCACTCCCCGATAAACAATAGTCTGGGCCGGGAAAATCTAGCTTTTCTTCCAATTTATGGCGAAGCCCAGATTTAACAGGTGTGATGTCAACACCTGAGCCTGCATCACTGCTTCCTGTCTGGAGCGTGACAGCAGCAGCAGGTCGTCCAGGTAAAACAAAACTCTCATCCCTGCTCTGTGTAACGGATGCAGGGCTGTCTCCACACACTTTGAGAACGTACAAGGCGCGAGGGAATACCCGAACGGCAGCCTGTTGTACTGATACTTCATCCCTTGAAAGGCGAAACGCAGGAAATTTCTATGTTTTGGGATGATCGGTATGTGAAAATAAGTATCTTTTAGGTCAACGGAAACAAACCAGTCGTTTCTCTGGATGTTGTCCAACAGCTGTCTGGTTGTCAACATGTGAAACGGTCTGTCAATGATCGCCTTGTTGAAAGCTGACAGATCCAAAATCGGTCTCATCCCTCCGATCCGTTTGGGAACCAGGAAGTAACGTGAGTAAAACCCTGTGTTTTCCTCTCCGTTGGGAACCCTGGAGATGACTCATTTTATCAGAAGCTCTTGGACTTCTGCATTTAGGGATGAGATTTGATCTGGTGATGACAGTACCGTCTCTAAAACTCCTCCGAACGGAGGGGGTCGGGTTGCAAACTGCAACGTGTAACCTTTGCATAACACCCTGGCCATCCATCTGTCTGGCGAGCATGTTTTTTAGCCAACGTTCGTGGAGTGGACGTGCGTTTAAGTGATGCGTCATGTTTTGTACGGATGTCATCCAGTCCGCCGCCTCGACCGCCGTCATGTGTCGCGGGAATGTTTTCCGCGTGACCCAAGGCGAGGCTTCCTCGAAAGGGCTCTGAACACGCCCGTGCGCTGTGTTTGGACCGCGGACCAACCTTCATGTCCAGGTGGGCCGGTGTGTGCTGAGGCGAAGCGTGT